CCCCCATCCTCAAAGGCAGCTGGGCTGGTTCGTGTCGCATCGCCCCATCTCTGCGGTCAAACCTCCCCACGTCTCCCTTTTCTAAGGACCCTTACAGCACGCGCAGGACCTCACAGAGGCGATCCCAGTAGCCTCCCCACTTCGAGGTCCTTACGTTAATCTCTGCAAAGTATCTTCTCCCGGGTGCAGTACTATGCCCAGGTCCCACACGTCAAGAGGGCGCTGTCTTTGGGCACCACCTGTCAGCCTAATGCGTTGCAAAAGACAGACAGACAGACAGTCAACACCCAAGCACAGGAGCACGTGTTCTCTGCCTGACTCTGCAGGGAAAGGTAGCCGGGGTTTTACCGTTACAAACAGAAGAAGAGCACTCTGCTAGGACAGCAGCGCAGAATTGTGCACCATTCTCCAGTTGAAGCAAAAACCAGAAACTTGGCTATATGTGACTTTAGAATCCATCGTGAAGAAGGAGCTGGTGCAAATAATAAACTTTGAACATTGGCATTTCCACCAGACAAGCTTTTTTTCTGCCTTGTGTAAAGTGTGCCTTGAAAGCTCTATTTGTTTTTGTTGTTGTTGTTTTTCTAAGAAATACATAGAATCGGGGCCGTTGATTGGTCCAAATGTGGAGAGCTTTGAGAGACCAGGTTCTCTGGAGATTCTGTTGTCTTTGTAAAAGATCATCGAGTGCTCCCTCCATCACAATTCTAAGTGTACACTCCGGGCAGGCAAATCGAGCGCTGCACCCAGGAGATCTGTGCTTGCTCTAATACTCTGCTTGATTTGCATAATTTGGGTCAGTCATGGGGCTTGAACTCTGGGCCTGGGCACCATCCCTCAACTCTTTAGCTCAAGGCGAGCGCTCTATCACTTGAGCCACAACACCACTTCTGGTTTTCCGGTGATGCTCACAGGGCAATTCCAAAGCACCTCCAGTAAGAACAAGGCGGAAGTGACCTGGACTGACGTCATGACTTCTCCTTGGAAATAACAGGGCCAGATCAAAGCTACCAGTCACAACTGGCTGGGACAGAAAGTGGCTTCCCAAAACCAAACAACTGGCCGAAGAAATGATGCTCAGAGATTCCCAGGAACCCCAGGGGATGTAGGTGTGGCTAAAGGACAGGATGAGGGCCGTTGTAATTTGAGGTACGTAGGGAAGAAGGTAAAGCAAAGGATGTGTTAGTTACATTTCCAATGACCTTTCTATGCTCTCTGAGATGGCCTGATTGCATGACTGAGCGGATATTACATTAGCACACACTTCTTGACCACTCACAGGGAGACTGACCCTCACTGAAAATCCCAGACTTCCAAACCTCCAGGACAGGGAAATCATTTGTGTCTAGAAGCAAGGTACCTTAGTGATGGAATTCAGTAGTCTCAACACCACATGAACATTATAATCTTAAGAAAAGTACTAACAGCACCTTTCAAATAGTGAGGCTGCTTATTGTTTCTTTTGGGGGGGGGGAGGAGGTCCGGTCACCTGAACTCTGGGCCTGGGCGCTGTCCCTCAGCTCTTCAGCTCAAGGCTAGTGCTCTACCACTTGAGCCACAGCTCCACTTCTGGCTTTTTTCTTTTTTGCTTATGTGGTGCTGAGGAATCAAACCCAGGGCCTCATGCATGCAAGGCAAGCGCTCTACCACTGAGCCATTTTCCCAGCCCTGCTTATTGTTTCTTGCTTCAGATAATTATTACAATGACTTAGTACATGCAGCTAAAAGAAGGTGTTTTCTATGATAACCATGAAGCAGGCATTAGCTTTCATCACAAAGGGCTCTGGTATAAGAATAATAGGGAATCTCTTGCTATTTGCTTACTAAATAATAGCCGTAATTATATCTTACATCACTTAATAAAAATCATTCCCATATGACAAGAACCGCAATTCAACCGAATTCTCCTGCCCCAATTGCAGTTACTTAAGAGTTTTTCTTGGGTCCAAAAGAAAAAGATGTGTTTTCTTTTCTGCTAAGTTCTGTTTTCTAGGCCTTTTCAAGCTCAGGATCTAGCAGACAACTGGCATCGACATATAGACGTCGTCAAAAGCAGGAAACTCAAATTAACCTGCCTTTCGCAACAGATCCCGCTTGGGGTTTGAGGCAACCGCAGAGAGCAGTCAGGCATTTGACAAGTGCTCTGTGTGAAATCTAGGGGTTTCTTTCCTCTCAGGAGAAGCCTGAGTGTGTGGAATCAGCAGAGGCTGGAGTCCCCAGGCTACTGGTCCATGGCGGTTCAGCCTCGAGCCTGCAGACACAGCCGTCCAGAGCTGCGCTTCCCAGAGCTGGTTTTGATCAAAGCCATGAGATGTCGGTGGTGGGAAATGGTTACGGGCTTCTGGGGCTGTGGTCACGGTGACAAGCGCTGGTCTCACCCTCAGGCCAGACCAAGGGCTGTGGTGTGTCACCAGCTGCTAGCACGGAAGGAAACCTCAGAAGGGAGCCAGGGAGTCAGAAGTCTCTGCGCTTTGTGACAACCACAAGTCCGGGACCGCTCATAAATCCACTCTTATCTAACATTGATTTACTTGGCTTTGAAAGTGAGAAGAAGAAGAAGGCGGGAACATGCGTCCCGCCGTAGCGGTAAGACTGACCAGGAGTGCGAGCCGGAGTGCTTTGAGTTTTGTTCTTTTAGTCACGGCACTGTTCCATAAGGCAGGTGTTATCAGCATCCCAAGAAGTAACTTACCTGAGACAAACACATTATCGACACAGAAATACATAGAGGCTTTCAACAGGCAGATCAGAAAGTGCGGAGGGGTTTCTCTGTCAACATTCTACAGCTTATCGTTTAAAAAGTAATTAAAACAGTCACAAGCATTATCTGGCACCGAGCTGGAGAAGGAAGCCTGCTTGTCCTTCTTAGCCTGTCTCAAACCATTGAAGAACACCCATGCTACAATAAGCATCTGTTTATTTAGCCTTTTTTCAACCTGCTCCCAGAGCCCGAGAACGGGTGAGCGCAGAGCGCCCCCTGGTGAGCAGCGTGAGGAATTCCCCTAGTGAAGGCCACAGGGAGCTAGCGGCCTGTCGCTGCTTCAAAGCTACCCACAAGTGACTGACTCCTGAGCCTCCTGTTCTCCATCTACGGTTCATTCACTCCTTCATGCATTCACTGAAGAAATACCGGGGTGTGCTCCAGCTGGGGACAGGACGCTGGGGAGGCGAACTTCACACAGTCCCCTGACCTGGCAGACTTTTCTGTCCTCCAGCCTTTCATCTTGCTGCAGGCCCACCCCTGGTGCAGGGTGGACCGGCTCTGCTGCCTGGGCTTCCCAGCAAGCTGCCGTCCGACCTCTGTGCGCTCCTAACCCTGGGCGCCTTGAGCGTGGTAGTGGCACGCTGGCTTGAAATTACACGTGTACACGTGTCATTGAGCAGTGACCTGACCCATTCAGAGGTGGGACGTTCTTCCCTGAAACTTCATCTCCACACTTCCTCTAATCAACTGCTACAGGAGGTTTTTACACACGTGACCCTCCGAGGAGGGCTATTCCCGGAGAAACGAACAGAGAACACCAGGGCGGTGGCATCCTGGAATCGCAGTACTCGGGAGGAGAAGAGAGGAGAATCCCAAGCTCAAGACCAGACAGGGCTATGAACTGATATACATGCATCATACATACGTACGTACATAAGGAAAGAAGATTGTTCTCCCTTTGCAGATTCGAATACCAACGTTGACTTGTGAACTCTATGGCAAGCTTCTGAGAGAAAGGAATTTTAGGCTTCAGGAGTCTGAATATTTTAAGTCATGATTGATCCCTTAAGCCAAAGATTCATGAGTGAAGAGTTTGCCTCCCTAGCTTGGCCCACCCACAGACGAGGTGAGAGTTCAACACGGGAGCCGGGCCCCGCCCTCCCTCCATGTTCCAGCCACACCCCACAACCCACCCCTCGCTCCTAGCCGGTCCGCAGCGCAGACACGGGGCAGCCAGTGGCAAGGCTGCAGCGAAAGGGAAAAGATGGCCCACAGAGGCAGGGAAATCGAAATCGGGACACCTAAGAGACAGAGGCAAGAGACCCCCAGGGGGGCCTCCAAAGACACCAAAAGCCCCAAGAAGCCGGCAAAGGGCCGGGCTCTGGGGAGGGCTGCCGCCAACTCTGCGGCTTCTTCCCCTACACATCCCTTACCTCACGCCGCATCTCAGTGGCCAGCACTGCGCAGGAAACATTCGCTTTGTCAGATGCTATAGCCAGGAGCCCAGGTTCTGTGTGTGCCATTCTCTCAACTGTCCGCTAACCAACCCTCCAACACCATCGATAATCAAGTAAGTCTAACACTAGCGCCCACGCGAGGAGACACGATGCAAGCATGCACAACCTCAGAATCCTCAGGGCTCCGGGTCTTGGAGCACACACGAAGACTGGAAAAGACACTGCAGCCGGGCGCCGCTGGCTCACGCCTGTCATCCTGAGATCTGAGGATCGCGGTTCAAAGCCAGCCCTGGCAAAAAAAAGTCCCCATGAGACTCTTATCTCCAATAAACTACTCAAAAAAGCCAGAAGCGGCACTGTGGCTCAGGTGGTAGAACACTAGCCTTGAGCACAAAGAGGCTCAGGGACAGTGCTCAAGCCCTGAGTTCAAGCCCTAGGACTGGCATAAAAAAAAAAGACACTGCAATTATGTTTTCAATTAATCACTTTTATTAGATTAGTGCTAGATAATATTAATAGTTCTGCCAACCTTTTATAATCAACATATCATAAATACACGGATAGTTCCCTCACAAAGATAAATATCTAGTAGCTCAGAACAATCTCATTTATACGTATCCAGGAAATGCTGTTACCAGTGATATGATCCTTCTCCTCTTGCCCTCCACCCCCACCCCCATCCTCACCCACAGAGCCCCACGAGACTGGAAATGGCCATCAAAGAGCGTGGGCCAGGGGCTGGGTGTGTCAGGACTACAAAGTATGGAAGGCAGAGCTTCGGGCACCACGAAGACCAGAGCGAGGCGCAGCCAGTGAGGAGGGGACATTTCTTTTCTCCTTCAGACCACCTGGTGAACCACGGGGCGGACGCACGTGCAGCCCACAGACACGTGCATCTTCTCCAGCCGGAAGGAGTGCGCGCAGCCCTGGGGCTCCCTCCGGAGGACCAGGATCTCTTGCTGGATGGCCACGGCGTTCATGGAGCTGTCCTCCCGCCCCTGGGCGTCCAGACAGCCCGCGTGTCTGCACCGGGCCTCCGCGATCTCCGAGGGGAAGCGGTGAGGGTCCCGGGTGACGCTGGGAGAGAGAAGCGAAGGGGGGCGGTGAGGCGGGGCCTGCAGGCCTGAGTCTCACGGGTGTGCACACCACCACCACCACCACCACCCCGCCCGCCCTTGCCTCACTCCCCGATGCAGGCCCCTTCACCGTCGTGAATGGAGCTTGCCACCCCCTGTCCCCTCATGGGGCTGAGCGCCTCAGTGATCTGGTGAGAGATCGGCCTGTCGCTCCCCACACACAATGTCGCCATTCAGCGAGGATCCCAGCTTCCAGCCCACTTCCACTTGCGTTGTTATTGGTATAGTTAATACTCATCCTGTTGCCCGGAGACTGAAAACCAGCAGTGTGTTTTCAGAATACCACCGGGTGCCCTGGTGAGCCAACCAGAAAGCCTGCACCAAGCAATCCCCGGGGCCGCGTGTTCCTGGGACCTGTACCTCTACTAGCACCGACGGCTTCTACAAAAAGGTTTCCCTATTGGCAAGCCCAGGTATGCACAAGGGTACCTTGATCAGACATACACCTCTACCCCCGTGACCCTCCCTCACCCCCTCCCTTCCCCTTCAAACCAGTCTCCACCAGCATCGCTGTTGCATTTTTAGACATGTAAGTAAACTATTTTAACTATATTCACCCTCTGTTTGCCACACACACATACACACACACACACACACCAGACAGAACCCATTTTGCCTTCCTGTCATTCATCTTTTTCGTGTAGGCTACTTGTTCAAAGGCGGCCCACCCTGGCATCTCATACATGAATGCACAGTGTCACAACCAGATTGAACCCCTCAGTTCTCACTTTCTCCGTCCTCGCTACGTCCTCCTGTGAGTTTCATTACGTCCTCTTCCTTCACAGCCTCACCATGGATTCTCAGGATTATTCACCTCGAATGTGCTCTCTTCCTCTCCCTCTCATCCCTCGAGTCCCACAATGACAACCAAGCTCCACACACATAGACACACATAGAGATGACCCTGTAGATAGCCTCAGATATGTGGATCTTTGAGGAGTAACAGCCACATTTGAGGATCTATATCTCCAGGCAAAACCCACCTAGCCTCCGCTTCTCACTCACAGCGCCCCCCCCCACACCTCCAATCAGAGCAGATCCCTTACACTGATTTTCCCCGTTACCACCTAGCCTCATATGGGCATCTAAAAGTGTGTGAAAGGGACTGGGAAGGTGGCTTAGTGGTAGAGCGCTTGCCTTGCATGCATGAAGCCCTGGGTTCAATTCCTCAGCACCACATAAGCAGAAAAAGTCAGAAGTGGTGCTGTGGCTCAAGTGGTATAGCGCTAGCCTTGAGCTGAAGAGCTGAGGGACAGCGCCCAGGCCCAGAGTTCAGGCCCCATAACTGACCCCCCCCAAAAAAAAGTGTGTGAAAAGTTTCTTCGTGAAGAAGAAAGGGGCAGAATTGAGGAGAAAAAAAGGGAAAACAGATGTTAAAACCATTAACCACACAGGCAGACCTAGTCCAAAACAGCAAGCAAAGGCTGAGGCCGGTGCCCGGACCCCGTGTGGAGGGTGACTGTGAGCAGAGGTTAGACAGGGACCGTGAGCCCAGGCATGTCCACTCGCTCCGTATGCAACGGGAGAGCGAACATCTCCAGCCTCAAGCTGTGGTCCTCCATCTTCCTGAGAAAACACAACTCCATGGCTAGTTATAGGGTTTTCTAGCTGCTCTAAGTTTCTACTGGATGATTCCAATGTGTTGCTCTAGTTCTCACAAGCTGGGTGGGGACCTGTCCCCCCTCCTCCTCCCTCCCCCTCCCTCGGCCCCTCCCCCGCCACGCTTACTTGTAATCCCACGGGGAGGTGGAGCGGTTCTGGAAGTCCTGGAGCACGGTGGTGCCCTGGCTCTGCCTGAGGATGCGCATGTCCACCCGGACTGTGTTCTCCTCCAAGGCGGGGCAGTGCCCAGCCTTCCGCCCTGCAGTTCCCAGGCCAGGAGCCCCAGCCTGGGGGATGTGAAGAGCTGCCACCTCCCTCGGGAGGACGAGGCCCAACGTCAAGAGCAGCGGGAACTGGACCTGGGAGGGGGAAAGGGTTGCCATGGTTACGGGCTCTGGTGTGGATGGCGGGCAGGAAAGGCACGGGCCAGCCCCAGTTGGTGTATGGTCATCGTCACCGAGAATGGAACGCCGTGCCTGATCACACCAGGCTGCCAAGCTGAAAACCAACCTCACCGGCCCGGTTATCCATGACCTCCCATCCGGGAGACAGAGACGTCAAGGTCTAGGACTGGGTTTCCGTCCCTCCTGGCCTCCTTGTGTGGGCTTTTCTTCTTCCCGACTGGAGGATAAGACTCACTTTGTAATAATGTTAACAAGAGTGGTACGTAGCAGTGGTGCACACCTGTAATTCCAGCCGCTTGAACTGGAGGAAGGTGGAGATCAGGAGGATGGAGATTCAAGGCCAGCCTAAACAAAGTCATCGCAAGACCCCCATCTAACCAACAAAGCAGGGGTGACAGGCCTGCAGTCCCAGCTGTGCAAGCGTGCTGAGGATGAAGGAGACACTTTCAGAAAAAATAAATCAACAAGAGGGCGTGCGGCTCACTCCGGAGCCTGACGAGCAAACACAACACGCTGCCTTCCAACCCTGGCACTACCACAAAGGAAAGGAAGAACCTCTATATAAATAATATAAACGGAATGTTCTCTGTAACGTGCTCTCTCGCAAGAAAAGCGCAGAGGTTTGATAAAGTAGACCTTTTGGTTACAGTTCCCACAGCTCCTCCTCCCAGCCATCGCCCTCTTAGAATACGCAGCTTGCTCGGCTGTTGAATCCACCCTGCCAGCCTGGCCCCAGCCCAGACCGGCTTCAGCCAGAAGCATCACTAAACAATAAAGCTTGGACCATCCGTCTCTCAGGCAGTGGTTTGCCAGAAGCATCACTAAACAATAAAGCTTGGATCATCCGTCTTTCCAGCAGTGTTTTTCTTTTCTTTGTTGGTCATGGGGCCTGAATTCTGGGCCTGGGCGCTGTCCCTCAGCTCTTCAGCTCAAGGCTAGCGCTCTACCACTTGAGCCACAGCACCACTTCTGGCCTTTTCTGCTTATGTGGTGCTGAGGAATCGAACCCAGGACCTCGTGTATGCAAGGCAAGCACTCTACCACTGAGCCACCTTCCCAGCCCAGGCAGTGGTTTTTTATATTCTCTGGTGATGGCACATTTGTGTCTGCATAAGACTTCCACCTACTAGATGGAAATTTCCTGGGAGAGAATAGTAGAGTCAGCTCCATAAGGACTTTCTAAATGAATGAATGAAACAGAGTGAGTGAATGAACAGAACAATGCAGTTAATGAAGCTCAGGGCATTAAGAGAAGCATTATGCAAAGCCATCACTAGCAGAGTCCAATTATCTAATTGAAAGAAGCAGGAGCACTAATGACGTGTGACAGCCAGGATAGGAAATGACTGCTCTGTCGTCCAGCACCCGTTTTTATACCAATGCTGAAAGATCAGGTTATCTGGTGTGAAGAGGAACGCACAGAGAGCTTGCTCGGTGAGGATCCCACTAAAAGAAGAGCAGAAATCTCTCCCACATCCCTTTGCACAGCCACACGCTGCTCACCCCAAGATCACACAGATGCCAGGGATGCCACCGACCCCGCCCAGGGTGGGCGGTCCTGCAGAACTAGAGCCTAGAGCCGATGCTGAGCTGCACTTCCTGGACCTGAGGTGCTTAGGGCTCACCTTTGCCAGGTAGGAAAAGTGATCCGAAATGGTTTCCATGTTTTTGCAGAGGCTGGAGGCAAGAAATGATCAGAGCACTGAGATCTAGAGTGTAGTGTCTCAGGTCTAGGGTCCCAGAAATCAGTACCAGGACTTTCGCTAGCTCTGACTCAGTGTACTCGGTGATCCCCATTAAACATAGCGTCCTGCCTGTCCAAATAAAGACAGCGCAGGTGGCAACTGCAGACATTGTAAAGTGTCACACGGTGGACAACACAGATGTGCAACTGTCCCCCACAGTCCTTCTGTCTTGACAAAGTGTCGCCAAGCTCGCACAACTCAGATGAGAAAACTTCGATAAGATGCAGACTTAGATAAGAAGGCCGTTGGTTTCCTCCATCTGTCACTTCTTCAGATTTCATGATAAATTCTTCCTCTGAGTTTTCTCTTTCCTCTTCTATAACCTATGCACTGATTCTCATTATCAAGGCTTAAAATAACTAGATCTTGAGGTAATATGAGTTAGAAGAAATTATTAGCATGCTTCAAACATGTCATTACTATTTTTCCTTCTGTATTATTGGGTATTCTAGAAAACACTAGATCCTAACAACTACAGAGCATGCACGGATTGCCTCAATGAGACAACCATCATTGGTTAAGCTCACCACCCTCCGAGCGCCTTCTGGAGACTCCAACCTAAGTATCAGTGGTCAATGCGCCCTTCTGGAGACTCCAACCTAAGTATCAGTGGTCAATGCGCCCTTCTGGAGACTCCAACCTAAGTATCAGTGGTCAATGCGCCCTTCTGGAGACTCCAACCTAAGTATCAGTGGTCAATGCGCCCTTCTGGAGACTCCAACCTAAGTATCAGTGGTCAATGCGCCCTTCTGGAGACTCCAACCTAAGTATCAGTGGTCAATGCTATTGCTATTGAAGGCCATTGCTTTTTTTTTTTTTTTTTTTTTTTTTTTTGGTGCTTTCTTCTGTCTTCCTTTCCTGTGCTACAATAGAGAATGACAGCATTCGCCTGCCATGCAGATGGTATAGAAGAGGCCACACCTACCGCACACTTGGCTTCTCCAGATGGAAGAGTTGGTCATGTTTGTGTCATTAAGGCCCAACTGCAGTCTTTTCAGAGCTTCCGCTCTAATCACTTAGGACTCCAGGTTCCCAGAGCAAGTAGAAGGGCTCACAGACGTCACAGTCTGTCTGACGACAGGCACTGTGACCTGCAACGCCGCGGTGCTGATGCAGCTGTGGGTCACAAGTGCAAGGAGATGGTGGGCAATGTGGCTCGCGCCTGTAATCCTCGCTACTCAAGAGGCTGAGATCTGAGGATCAAGGTTTGAAGCCAGCCAGGGCAGGAAAGTCCATGAGACTCTGATCTCCAATTAACCACCAAAAAGCCAGAAGTAGAGCTGTGGCTCAAGTGGTAGAGCACAAGCCATGTGGAAGGGAAGGAAAGGGAGAGGAAAGAAGGGAATTGATTGGAAGCAAAAACTATGTAAGAGATTTGCTTGAAGGTAATGTCTTTAAACTCATTACATTGACCTCTGAGTCACTGAAAGAAGAGCAGAAAACCCACACTCATGTCTCAGGTTTTGTGTTTACAGTATCCAGTGATATTAACTATACCACTCACTTGAGCTTTTGGTTGATTTTCAGTCTTGTCTTCTTTGTAGAGCTATGATTTAAGCCCAGACCTTGTGCGTGTCCTCTAAAGCAACACCCCCAGTTTAATTAAGCTTTTGCTCATCTGTATAATGGGAAAAAGCAATCCCTGACTATCCCAGTAAATTGGTTAGTACCTCAAGGATAATATAGTAATACTGAGCCAAGTATGGTGGTACATGCCTGTAATCCTTAACATTAAGGAAGTTGCGGCAGGACTGTGAATTCCAGGCCAGCCTGTGTACATAGCTAGACCCTAACTCAAGAATATGGGGGAGAAATGTTAATATTAATGTTAATACTTAACCCTTACTGAATGATTTTGCTATCTTTATCTGTTGCTTTATATTACTATATATGTGTGTGTGTGTGTGTGTGTGTGTGTGTGTGTGTGTGTGTGTGTGTGTGTGTATGTGTGTGAGAGATACCATTCTTATTGCATTGTACAGTTGAGAAAACTGAAACAGAGAGGCTAAGGAACTCCAAACCACACATTTAGCAAGTGGAGGAGCCAAGACTGTCAGACTGTAAAGTCTATGCTATAAGTATAGCTCTTAGATTCTCATTTCAAAAATAATGCACAAATACAAAACAAAAGTAATGTCATAGCTAGTATTGTGGTCCTTTTGATGGAACTGGAGCTCTTTTAAGCAGCATGGCTTGTAAAAGGAGAAAAAGGGAAAGACAGGACATGTACATGCTCCCGAAGCCTGGTTTCCCTGCGCTCCACATCCAGTTCTTCCCACACGGACTGACGAATGCAAGGCCGGAGCCCACATTCCATCGCATTGTTATCCCTCATGCCGCGAAGACAAAGAAGAGGATGAAGAACAACAAAATAGTTAGCAAGATCACGGGAAATTTCCCCCTCCCAGGAGCTGTCCAGAAGTTCAACGCTGAAGCTTGCTTCCCGCATCCAGGGCACCACTGCAGAACTGAGAGCATTACTTATGAAACTACTTGGACCCATGTGCATACCCCTCAGAGCTGACTGAGCTCCTGCCACAAGCTGCGTGGCACCTAACTCTATCATGAGTGGCTGCAGGAGAGACGGGGCCAACGCCACACCCCCTGCGAGGGTCCATCAGATACAGAGCTCCGCGTTACAGCCCATCGTTACCTTTCTACTGAGTTTTGTTTTGCTCCATCAGACAAGAGTCAAAACTCGAGTCAGCTCTGTTTGTATGAGACATGATGCAGAAGAGACTTCGGGGAAGTCTCACTCCTTAGACCTCTACTCTTCTGAAAACTTAGGCCTCTGCTCTTCTGAAATCATAGACCTCTACTCTTCTGAAATCATAGACCTCTACTCTTCTGAAAGCTTAGGCCTCTGCTCTTCTGGAATCATAGACCTCTACTCTTCTGAAATCATAGACCTCTACTCTTCTGAAAGCTTAGGCCTCTGCTCTTCTGAAACCATAGACCTCTGCTCTTCTGAAAGCTTAGGCCTCTGCTCTTCTGAAAGCTTAGGCCTCTGCTCTTCTGAAATCATAGGCCTCTGCTCTTCTGAAATCATTGACTCTACTCTTCTGAAATCATAGACCTCTAGTCTTCTGAAATCTTAAGCCTCTACTCTTCTGAAATCTTAGGTCTCTACTCTTGTGAAATCTTAGGCAGGATCGTCCTTCCGCTGAAATGAGCATTAGCACTCACCATGGCGGTGTGCAGCGGGCTCTTCATGGTGAGTCTGCTCACGGCGCTTCTGGTGCAGGGAGCGCGTCCTGAGTCGTCTCCCTGGGTGTCGTCAGGAACACCTGTCAGCTTTATAACAATCACTGCTGCTGTTTCCACTGACCTGCTTCTCTGTCACTTGTGGTTGACCCAGAGTTACTGACTAATGCAGGGTGGTTTTTTTTTTCTATTCTGTTTCCTGAAGGGAAATCAAAGGGAGACCCTAAAAAAAAGATGACAAAAAAATGACCAAATCTTCCTTTTCTTCTACCCCCTTCCACCCCTGCCACTACCCTCAAGTTACCGTGAAATTCTTAATCTACTACAGAGATGAACCAAGTTGCACATTTCCTCTCCCAGAATTCACCAAAGGCTGTGTGGTGTCACGCACCCTGTGAGCTACTTTGCCTGTCATGCAACCCGAGCTATGACGGATGAGGGAGATGTCCCCCTGGGTGGGGCTTGCTGGGAAACAGCAGGTCTACCTTTACAGCCATCTACAGATGGGAAAGCCAACTCCGCAAAATAAACAGTGTCAGTAACTGATTCCCAAATTACATCCTCAGATAGTTTTATGGTCTCCTTGAACTAATTTTTCACCCTATAATTAGACTACGGGGTCTAATCATAAGTTGTTTATGCACAAGACATGCAAATGGCCATTAGCTTGACTATATGATTAAAGATCACTTTTCTTCAGGAAAATTAATTAGCAAATAGAAGCCTTTAAGTGCTCATTTGTCTCTGTTCAGTTCGGTTTCAATAAATGCTTTTTTTATTAGCATCAATTAAGTGTGGGGGGGAGATCATCTTGACATGCCCGTGCGTACACACAATGTACTCTATTGAGTCTCCACCTCCCACACCAATTTAACCAGGCTTCATTTGTCCAGTGTTACAGGCACTGAGCATGGACATTACTATCTGGGCCATGGCTGGCCCCTTTATCCTCTGTGTTCACCCTGGCTCCTCTTAGTTCTCACAGCCCACACGGGACCTTCAGCAAGCCCTAATCAAACATCTGCTGTATGATACCATCATTTCCAAGAGGCTGTGACTTCCATTATTAAGTCTCCGTGTTGATCAGGTCAAATTGTACATGCTCTTTTCAAAAGGCAGAACATCAAGTTATTTTCCTCTTTCATCAACTTATTGGAGCAACCTTTTCTCCATTGTTTTTAACTGAACAAAATGGCAAAGGAGTCTTCTGGGGTTGGTGAAAGGCCTCTACCACTATCAAGTCGGTGATCATGGGCCTTTTGTTGTTGTTGCTGTTGTTGTTATTATTGTAGAGGTGACCTTCAGAGGGGCTAGTTACACGAATCAGGTACGAACACAATTCTTTTTGAACCATGTCTGCCCTTCCCTCACTTTCGCCCAGGTTTTCCCTCTCATCCCCACCCATAACATAGCCAGTTCATGTTCCACATCTGTCCCGAGAGTACCTCTGTTGTATTTGTTCACCCTTTGTATCACCTTTTCTGTGCCCCCCACCCCTCCCAAAGACAAACTAACAAACAAGATGAAAGGAAAAGAAAAGGAAAACAGCAACAACAGCAATTTCAACCAAGTCGCTTGGTTCCTATACAATATTACACGATCACATGCACATGGCCATCAAGCCTTTGTGGTCTGCTCCTATGCAGATCCTCCTTTGACTGTGAATGTCTAGAGCCCTATATAATTGATCACATCCCGGTGTGTGTATAGGTACATATTTTTTTTAATCATTCAGTGTGCTTACTTGTAGACTTATAGGAGAGGCGCATTCTAGCTACCACAAATGAGGGAAACCATGCAGAGTATGTTTCTTTGGATCTGGCTGACTTCACTTAATACAATTTTTTCCACGTCATTCCATTTCCTTACATATCATACAATATGTGTGTATATTGCATGTTTTCCTGATCTGGGTTGGTTTTGTACCTTGGCTATGGTGAACAATGCTGCAATGAGCATGTTTGTGCTGGGATCTGGGGCCTTTTGTCCACATAATTCCTCTCTGTGCCTGGCGAGTCTTCTCCGCACTCCTCTCTTGAATAGTCAGAATGTTAAGTCCTACTTGGGAGACAGATAGAAGGATCACAGTTGGAGGCCAGCTCAGGCAAAGAAAATTCCTGAGACCCTGTGTCAAAGAACAATCCAGATGTGTGGTCGACATCTACAATCCCAACGACACGGGAGGTATGGTGGGAGGACCATGGTACAAAGCTAGCCGGACCCCATCTGAACAAACAAACAAAGCAAAAAGGGCTAGGAAAGAGGCTCACAGGGCAAAGTCTAGGTGATTTTCTCCTCATTACCTCTGAGCTCAGATTTCATCTCTCTGGTACACAGAAGCTCTAGGAAAGTTCTCCAGAGCCTTCATAGGTATAGAATAACTTTAGCCCCTCCTCAAGAGTCTCTGTAGCCTCTATTTCCAATCTAATACCCACAAATATCCAATTTAAATTATGCAAACACAGATTCAGAACAAGTGCCTGAAGTAGGGCGCGACAGCGTTCGCACAGACGTGATGAAGCGCTGGAGAGGCGTGCTGGAGATGTCAGCTTCACATGCATCACACAAGCTAACCAAGCCACGTGAGAACTCGGCCCTTTGTTTGGTGGAAATTGAGGCACCCACTGGTGCAATCTGGACCTGACATGTCTAGATTTGTGGACCCCAGTGCAGTCTTGTTCACAGACAGGGCCTCTGGACATTGAGAGGACCAGGAACGCTCTGGCATCCCCAAGGGACTCGTCCGTTTCTGATTCATAGCTTCATGGACGCTGAATGGTGATGGGAAATGACCTTGAAGAATATACTTTGTCCCCAGCCAGCCCTTCCTCTCCTTCCTCTTTCTCTCCCTCTCTCCCTGACATAACAGCGCCCATTTCTCCTTCTGCCTCCCATGAAGCGGGTATGTGCTCCTGAACGCCACGATGTTTGGCCTCACCACAACCCACAAAAAACAGGGCCAATGACCATGGGTGACAACCTCCGAAAACTTGAACCAAAACAAGTCCTTCCTCCCTTACTGCATTGCTTTTTTATTTCGAGGGGTATTTTGTCCCCTCAACCCATACCTCTTCGGTTGTCTCCTTGGTCAGAGCTACAGCCCAAGTGAGGAAGAACATACCAGCTATGCTGACAGTCGCTTGGGAGTAAGAGGACCTGCGTCCAACATGAGAGAATCTGCTGGCCTGCAAGGGAAAAGAAAACAGCCCTTCATATAAGAAGGAAGAAAGGCTCCTGTGTACATCAAGTAGCCACAGGGTTTTCTCCTTCCAGACAAAGATAACTGTCTTGGCAGGTAACAGCTAGTAACTGGCTGTTACCAGATTCAAACAGCATCAGATCATTCATTCATGTAACATGTATTAAGCATTTCTTCTCCCCTACACCCCCCCAGTCCTGGGGTCTGAACTCTGGCCCTGGGCGCTGTCCCTCAGCTCTTCAGCTCAAGGCTAGCACTCTACCATTTGAGCCACAGCACCACTTCTGGCTTTTTCTGCTTATGTGGTGCTGAGGAATCGAACCTAGGGCCTCATGCATGCAAGGCAAGCACTCTACCACTGAGCCACCTTCCCAGCCCCATGTATGAAACATTTCTTATCATTTAAGTCAGGAATATTAGTATATTGGGCGCATATTAATAGTGAACACACAAGTGAATATGGAAAATGCAAATTCATCATCCAAGCTGCCCAGCTCTGAGTTTTAATAATACATTGGAGCTGCCATCTATGGACTGACCCTCCACAGTCATCTCTACAAGCCCACTGAAAAAAACACCAGAAGGCCAGGCACTGGTGGCTCACATCTGTAATCCTAGTTACCCAGGAGTCTGAGATCCAGATGATCATGGGTTGAGACCATCCCAGGCCAGATAGATAGATAGATAGATAGATAGATAGAGATATTTTAAAAGCCCTAAAGATTTCATCTCCAAAATAATCAGCACAAAGTTGGCCCGAAGGCATGGCTCAAGAGGTAGAGCACCAAGCAAGCAAGCCTGCTCAGTAAGTGTGAACCTTGACTGCATTCAACCTCCAGTACTGGCAAAGAGAAAAAAGAAACACTAGAAAATTGTAATTCTGTGATTTTGGAATAGTTACACACACCCTTAGACATGGTAACATATGCTTG